TCCTTTTTATTATACCTTGAACAACGGAAATTATTTTCCTTTTTAGTACATTCTTTCATTTGTTTTAGAATACTTTTAGTGATTCCAATTATTAAGCGTTGTTTTTAAGTTTAAAAGTTAAAATATTTAAAACTAACGTATATTCATTGTAAGATTAGATTTAATTATGTCAAATAATTTGTTTCCCGTTCCAAAGTAACGAAATCAATTGATTTACATTTACATTCTGAATGAATAATAAATAAATGAATTGAATGAATTAGTCCTTCATATATAAATGACGACAATTTTTGTAAATAAAATTCTACATTAAATATTTTTCAGAAATTTTGAGTAAGACGAAAATAACTTTTATTGTTTATGCTAAATTAGACGATGCATTAAATGGAGTCGAGACTACAAAATTAATATTTACTATATAAATATTTATATATAGTTCCTCGCAGATAAATTTAATTTTAAAATATTTTTTTTACTGCGCGGTTTCGTTTTTGTCTAGTTAGTACTTCGACCGTAAAAATGTAAATGATCGTTTAACTTTGTGAACAAATATATTATTCATATACACTTATTAACATATATAAATAGTTTTAATTATAATGTAATATTTAAATGTTAAATACATTAAAATAACTTTCCATATGACATTACATTACTCATTAATTGTCATTGATAATATTTAAACGACTTTGAACTTACGCCGTTCTCAAAAATACGAAAATTTATTTGTTATATAACTTAGTATTCTTCTTTAAACATTTTCTTCATGTCCATGTTTCTCTTCATCAATCAAAATCCAAAGGAAAAAGAGAAATAATGGAAATAAAAAGAGAATTAGGAATGGTTGTTACTCTAGACTACTAATATTATAAATGCGAAAGTAACTCTGTCTGTCTGTCTGTTACGCTTTCACGCCTAAACCACTGAACTGATTTTAACGAAATTTGGTACAGATATAGAGTTGACCTTGAGAAAGAACATAAGATAGTTTTTATCCCAGACTTTTGAAAGTTTCTCTGAAACGCGATATAACCGAACTCCACGCGGGCGAAGCTGCTGGCTGAAAGCTAGTTCAGAATATATTCCACGATTATATCAACATAATAATACTTAAAGTAGCAATATTATTATAAAAAAGATCCTTAAATATATATAAAATAGATGTATAGTGTGTATTATATTATATATAGAATATAAGTATGTTGTCTCGTCTCTAGAGCTGGTCGCATCAAACAAACAATTACCTAACAATGACTGTTAGTTGTCCACTTGTCTATTTTTATTCTCAAACAATATATTCCTGTTTACCGGATCGTTGAGTGCATTATGTTTGTTTTTATGTTCCAGAGAGTCTCGCAATGTTTCTTAGTGGCTTCATTATATGTAGTTTAATATTAACGGTAGTATTCAAGGTCTTATTTTGTAAACAGCGTCGAGACTGTGGGCGGCCAGCCGTCACTGGTGGCTGATAATAGCTCTGAATGTACTCACGTAATATATCGACTATCATATATGTATATACAATATGTATTTGATATTCGCTTTCATTTTAGTGATAACAATAGGTAAGACTTCTAACTATTCTAATTAGAAAAACGTGAAAAATACATTATTTTTGTCTGAAATCGGTAATTCTGTTTAGTTTCAATTTACATTTTTCTTTCTTTTGCTTTTGCTATAATTTTTTTATAATCTTTGTATTATTTCGATAATATTTAGTATATTTTATTCGAATTACCTATTCGAGTTAGTTTTCTAACTAGAATTCTATGAGATCAAAAGTAAATCAAAATAGAAAGATCTTTATGAACTCGAAGCTCACAATATAATGCTTGCAATTTACATTACCATTGACATTTTAGAGAAAAACATATGTTCAGTTAAAATAATTCTTTTAAACATTGTATGTATAAAATATATTAAGTATAATTTTATTCAAATCTACGTTTAGTACATTGATAATTAGGAATTAAGCTTATTAGATAAAAATAATTACTAAATAATAATAAATTTATTCGTTATGTTTTAAAGATTTCTATTCATTAAAATCGCCTAACAGTTAAAAGGTTATTTGTCGCCAACAATAAAATTTAGTCGTCAATCTAGAACGCATTTAGAACTATGGGCGGTAAACAAAGGAATCCAGCGACACTGTAGGACGTTGGATGTTTTAACTTTTAAGAAATCGACGTTTAGGAAAATAAACGATAATTATTTTCCAAAAATTTGTTGATAATTAAGAATATTTTCATCTTATAACTTCAATTTGAGTCTCGTAATTATTCAAAGTGTCAAATAAATTACAAATAAAATACATAGCTTTTTTTTTAACAATAATAAACTATATGTATAACCTTTAAAAAGGGACAGTGCGTAAATTTCTTTAAGAATAATTGTTTTGTTTATACACTAGTGCCATATACATATTATGTACTTAAGTTTTAATGAAAATTGTTGTAATGGAATTACGGATGTAAACATATGTGATACACATATATTTTAATATTTCCGGATACAGGAAGTATTTACGGTTTCTTGATATCACAAATAGTTGGTCAGTTTTTTATAATCTATATACATATATATTTAAAAGAAATCGTGTTAGTTACACTATTTATAACTCAAGAACGGCTGTACGGGTTTGGCTGAAAATTGGTGGAGAGATAGCTTAGAACAAGGAGACATGCGATATAATTTTTTTTCCATTGAAAAATAAACATATGTATTTGATTAAATATGATCTCTAGGGTGGATAAACTTTTCCCGGTCATATCTATTATCAATCCATATATTACCAATTCCGAAATTAAAGCGGACGAAGTCGCAAGTAACAACTAGTGATCTAAAAAATTCGGGGTTTTGTGAAAGCTTAACATTTGGTACCTTTTCAAACCTAGTCAATATCTCGAGCGTCTTTATAGTCGGCAGAGTGCAGTTCGTACAAGGTTTTCATAAAAGATTATTTTGTCTGAAAATTCACTATATTCTAGCTGTTGCCTGCGGCTTTGTCCTTTAATAAATGCCTAGTCAGATTTTTTAATTAATTTTTGATTTAAATATAACATTTTATACTTTTAATAGTAATCACAAACAGACTCTATTATATTTATTATTGTACATATATAAAACTATTTTCGTTTCATTTTTAAATAATCATATAAATATTCTGTTAATAATTTAGTTTACAACCACATATTAGTATTTTTTCCGTGACTTTTCTCGTGTTGTTGATTGTCTCAAGTCTAAAGCCAAGGTCAGTTGTTAATTGTTTCTTATTGGTTCAATCTACTATTTATTGCTATCAATTGAAGTATTTTCTCAGCCTACAGATATTGAGAGGTGGAATTGTGATGTTGAAGATTATCAAACTTGTTTTAAAAGGAACTGAATGCTTTACATATATCAGTGCAATTGTAAAACAATTTCTGAACCTGTTGGCGTTTTGACAAAACGTTTTAACGTCGCCATTATTGTATGTCAGTGAAATTATTTTTGTTATGGTTCCGTAAGAATGTAGACTGATTTTTGTAATCAAATTATAACAGATTAAAAATAAATATGCAGAAATTAATGTCACTTTTAATTTTGGATTAAATCAATATTTTTAAATATACTGCTTTATTTTATAGTATGAAATAATTTATAATAATATTGTAAGTTACTTTATCTGATAAATTTTATTTAAATGAAAGTATGATTTATTAGAATCATTTGAATTAACTTTTGTTGTTGATCTCATTATGTGAAACTACGCACTGAGAAAGCAATATTTTTTACAATAACTTATTATATAAATACTTTTAGTATTTAATTAGTTAATAAAGATTAAACCATTTTAATATATGTTTATATGTTATGTACATTTGTCTTTATTTTGTTCATTTTGTATTTATATGTTTTTATTAAAAGGCCGTTGTTATTTTATAAATTACTCTAAACATTGACTCCGTTGTTCCAGAAATATGTGGTCAGTACAGATCGCAGCGGCGACATACATGTTCATGTACAGGTAAGCATACACACACACACACACACACACACACACACACACACACACACACACACACACACACACACACACACCAACCCGTCAAAGCGCAAGCACGTAACAGGACTATTCTTCTTCTAGTTGCTACTGTATTCTTCACTTCTATTTGTCTATTATATGTCAATTATTTAATCATATTAATTAACAGATAAATTGCTCTACAAACCAACTCACATATAAATGTCAATGACCTTTGTTTTAAGCTGAACAAGTTTCTCTCTGTCTCATTACAATTGCAGTTCAACCACTACACAAATGGAGGAACATTCACAAGTTGGCATTTTGACGTATATAAATTACACTCTTGACATTATCTGTAATGGTGTCTAAATGAAAAAAATACTATATTTCTTTTATCAAAGCTTTTTAATATAAATTTATTATATTATATGCAGATGGTTTAATAATTTAAATTAATTAAATTAATTATTTTCATGCTGCAATAGGATAATTTTAGGAAACACGGACAGGTGACGTATAATACATATATTTGATAAATAAAATAGTAGTTTTATAAACGGTCATATATAAGGCGAGATCTTATTTGATATATATGTTATGTATATATTTTTTTTATAAAACTACCTACATTAATAAATATTTAACTTGATAAGATTCTACCCAACGTTTAGTATAGTAATCATTCTGATGACATTTTTGATGGGAAAGTTTGGAAGGAAAGAACTTTAAAATTTGTTCAAGGTTTGTTATGGAAAGCTTACAAAGATTTAGCTCAGATGTAAGACTGTAATATTCATATAGGTTATCAATTTCTAAGTATAGTTCCATATAAATCCCGCAAAATATAAAAGTTGTTTTTTGAATCAAGTCACGCAAAGCAGACAATAGAGTAATTTTTTTTAGACCATTATATTTGTGCCCCAACCTAAAGTTCTTTTGGAGAAAGTCGTGGTCAAGATATACTATGTAGTTACTATAATTGTTATTTCAGGGCGACTTGAGTCAGCAGGACAAGAGATGTGTTTTCCTGACGGTACATGACCTCGGCACTAACCGTGAGTATTATACATAAACAGTTAAAATTAACCTTTAACGAACTTTCACAAGAAAAAGGTTAAATAATGTCAATTGAAGTTCAGTATTAATCCTTATTTATTACAATAACTTGATAATAATTATTATTTTTATGCTATACAATTTGACCTTATCTTTACATTCGTTTTTATTTCAATGTTTCCAAGTATTTTTTTTGTACTGAATACTTATAAATAAAAAGGTATACCTAATATTCTATATATTACCACTTTTATGGTTACAAATTGAAAGGTATTTGTAAAGGTAGAGGTAAAATTGGAATGTTTTTTCTTATCTATTTAATAAGAAGTAAATTCGATCAAGATCAATACATCCAATAATTGAAGAGCTCTTCGTCATTTTAACTTTTCCTGGGAATCAAAATAAGATAACGTTAGAATTATTTTGTAAACGTCGACTATGTAGCTCACATTTAATTGGTTCTAATTCTTTGATATTTAAATATATTGAGAACTATCAAACAATATTTATAGAAATCTTGAATTATGTATTTAATAAAATGGGAATTACCACAAACTTGTTGAACTTTTCAAAGACCAAAAAAAGATCACACACACGCACACATACACACACACACACGCACGCATATATGTACATATAAATAAACCCTTTGTTTTTCATGTATAATAAAATAAAATTGTTGTAAAAATTCTCTGGAAGTGAATTAAGAACAAACTCTCCATATAACTGCATTTCCTGTATAATAAAGTAACATTTAATAATATTTCCTGACATTAAAATAAACCAACCTAAATGTTCAAGTTAGTTCCCGTCGGCACTCGCAGAGTTATTTTTATTTATTTATATGTATAAAAAAAATTACTTGTCATTTGCATAATTTTTTTTCCTAAAATCCTTGATTTGAAAAGCGTTGAATTCTCTATATTACATTCTCGTTTTCTTGCTAAATTATTATTATTGTTTCTTATATGCATTTGCTGAGTGTATTGACATTTATAAAAATTTACAAAGTTAGAAGAGTTTGTATGAATAAGAAAATATATTCATTTGATAATAAGACTAGTGTTAATACGAGTATAACACTATATTCATTCTATTTCTATATTATGAATTTCATTAAGATGGTTTTTTAAGGTTTCCAGCCATAAATGATAAAATATCACATCGTCGAGTGTTTGAAATATGAACTTCAAGTATTAAGAGTTCTATAAAAGTCTGTAACAGTGAAAATCGATAAGTTCATTTAATTAATTTTTAAATAAATAAAAAAGAATATGAAATACAAAACAAAATATAAATTATCATCATTTATATATATTCTTTACTTTCTTCACAATCAAATATAATACATAAGAACGATTTCCTAAAAACGAGTTCTCCATTAAAATACTTCCTGATATAATAAGGTTTTTTGCCGAAAATAATTTATAATTTTTGTTCTTATTTTCCAGATTCATCGATGGTAGACTTCGTGAACAGTCCCGCTATGTCAGAGATCAAGGAGAGGTCGTGTTTCATCCACGTCGATGTTCCAGGACACGAGGAGAACTCACCGGATTTACCAGAATCGTGAGTTTGTCGTGTTCTGTCTATTCTTCTAAGAGATTATGTTTCGTCAAAAATATATAAAACCTATTGATTTTTGTCTCTTCCTTTTTATAGAATGTAATATACCTAGCTATAGTCTTTTATATATACAAGTTAATATGCAAATAAATCATATTTGTGAAACTACTTTTGGGTAAGAATACACTTAAAAAACTTGTATGAACTAATCAAGTTAAGTGAGATACCAGTTCTAAAACTCAATCTCACATGTGTTAATTAGTAGCCTTTAAATGTCGTGTTGACGTTACTACCCTGAACCCATCATTGGATAATTCACAATTCCCATCTATTTATCTTTCTATCTAGCTATCCGTTCCCGTCCTTACAAACCCTGGGTGAGGACCTCATAACGGTGCTGGACTTCCTCCACGTGCGTTACGCCGTGGGTGTAGGTGAAGGCGCGGGAGCAAATGTATTAGCTCGCTGCGGGCTGGCTCACCCTCGCAGGCTGCTAGGACTAGTGTTGGTGAACTGCACCGCTTCAACCTCCTCAGTAGCAGACGCCTTCCGCAGCCGGTTCTCGAGGTGGCGTGGAACAGATATATCACAGTCTGAAGAAGATTTCCTCATCTACCACAAGTTCGGACACGTGAGTCATGAGACCATTCTTTACGAGTATCAGGTATTTATAACCTTTTCTTTTTCTTCATTCTAATATTTCGTGTTGCGACAACTGATTTTTATTACTATTGAAATATAATTATAGAGGAAGTTCGGTTAGTTTTGATGTTAAAATAATTGTAGCTTGGAATTAGTGGAGCGTAGAAGTAATTGTAGTATCAGTATTTCTATCATTATTTTCTATATAGGTTACAAACGCTATTTCACTTATGATAAAGAAAATTAAAATGGAAAGAAAACAAAGATTAATTAACAAATATATACAGTTGTCCTAACATTTCCATTACTTATTGCTAAGGAATGTGTTTCCAACAACCACCCATCCAACAACAACCCATTTACATTCATATTTTGATACATATATTACTGAGAGAGTAACCTCAAAGCATCTTCCTTACCGATATTGTTTTCCTTGAAAGAAAAACTATTACGTTTAACCTACTTCAAATGAGATGTCAAATTATTTGATCTAATCAGATTAATTTTTCTTCTAAGGAAGATATTACTAACATTTTATTTAGTATTCATATAAAACAATTTTGTACATATGTGAATGTTTATTGATGGTAGAACAGAAAATTGAGAGTAGTTATAGTGTGCTTATGTTAACTTTTAAATAATGATAATAATATCGTGTATTTGACTCTCATTACAATATATCCGCTTTCTAATAATGTGACGTTACGCTTTGTCTTGTTTTGTTAAATTAGTTTATTAATAGTATGTAATGATTATTTGCTTATTAAATGTTGTGATCGTGTCCTTGTAAAATGTTTTGTTTTGCCTGAAAAGCTTTAAAATAGTATGAAATAATTAAAGCTAGCCTTGAGTACTGACTAAATATTTGAACACGTGAGTTTTATAGTTGAAGAAAACAATAAGACTAAAATAATTGGTACATTGGGGTTTTAAAGGAATTAACTGTTAATATTTTTCTTACTTTCTTTAACTATAAACCTCACATAAGGTAAGGAAATATATAAAGAAGAATATCTAAAAATAAATCCTGTTTTCATATATACTTATGTATATTTATATTTATTATAGCAAATATCGAGTGACTCTCTGTCGGCGGGTGAGAGAGAGCGTATGTTAGCTGAGTACAGATCTCGTCTGCGCGGAAACCTTAACACACACAACATTAAGCAGTACGTGCGAGCCTTCATCAAGTAAGTTCATTGTACTGAGACCGAAATACGTTGATATGACTTTTGTTAATATGTAGTCTAAATGATTTTAATACATATATTGTCTTTATGCATGTTTTTAACACATTACTTTGTAACAATATCAGACGTTGATTTCTTATGATGGATCAAAAAGTATGTAGGAATTAACAAAAATATTACATTACTTTTTGTTATGTAATAGTTTAATGATCTAAATGAAACTAATATTTTTGGATTTCTTCCCGCATCTTATCATTTTTTTTAAATCTCGACTCTCGTCTGCCCATGATCACGGTTGCAAAGTAATCGAAATATCGGGAGTATATAGTTAAAAATAATAAAATACGCGTAGCAAACAGAAAATATTACTTTCATTTAAATATCTTGAAAGTATTAGATCTCACCATGTTTAATAATCTAGTTAGATTTTAATTCTAAGCGCATTTTATTTATTTCAAAACATCTCGTCTGCCCGTGATCACGGTTGCTAAGTAACCGAAACACATAAAAATACGCGTAGTAAACCGAAAATATTAGTATCATTTTAACTCGCAAAAGTCTTAGATCTAATATTAAAGTCTAGTTAGATTTTAAGTATATTTTTCAATCCTAGTCGCAAGGACCTCGTACTGAAGGGCTGTCAGCCTGACCTACTTCTCATCACGGGGACCCTTAGCCCTTACTCGTCAGTAGTGGAGCGTTTGTACCGAGAGTTGGATAAAGATAAAGTCACAATTCTTAAAGTGGATAAGGTCGGGGACGTGTTGGCCGAAGCCGTGAGTATCAACTATACATACTGCTCTTTGAAACCTTACTTCATCTTTTATATTTCACGCTTATTAATTAATATTGAACTGTATCAACTGTACACTGCTCTTTGAGCTGGTCTAAACTTCATTTCATACTAATATATCTTGCTTATTAATATTGAAACTTCAAATGATTTTAAACACCAGAATATCTGTTTTGTGCTTTAAAGGTTCAATCTTGTGTAAAATCAAATATTACGCACAATTAGTATGATCGGCTAGAATTAACCATATTTCCTTGAGTGCTTATTGTTTTGATCAGTCTAGCTGAACTGAAGTATTTGTATTCTTGTTGCTTGTAACATTACTTAGAATTAAAATCGGTATCACGTCAAAGACGTTATCATTAAAGCTAAATCATGACTTAATTTGACGAGATTCCTACTTCCTAATTTGAGTTTGCTGAAAGTTTTTGTTACTTTAACGAATATCCTTATCAAATTCAAGTCAATTTAAATTCGCATGAGTGTAACTTATGTATATTTTATTTAATGTTTTATATAAATTTTATTATTTCAATACATTTCAAGAAAGATGCATATTTCTTATGATACTTTATAATCCTATTATCGACAATACCTTGTATTATATACAACAATGCTGTTTTCATGACTCTCGTGGAAAATACCATAACGATTTACGATTTATAGAGTTCAAAATGTCACTTAAATGACAAAGTCTTTAAGAAACTGCCTTAGTTTAATTTCAAACAACCAATTTTATAAGACAGCACTATGTTATGTCATATTTCTATGACTAACAGAAGACGAATGAAGTCGCAGACAGAGTGTAGTCTTAATAAATATAGTATAGCGTCTGTCAGTAATTTCTTGGCTGAAATTATATAAAATGATAATTTTGCCTGTATGTAATCATCATTTGGTAATCACCAGTGTATTTTGTTTCATTACCATGATTGTCAACTGACTGACAGTTTCCGTGTTTTGTTGTGAGATATAATTTTATTTTTGAAGCACGTGCCATCTGATAATGAAATGTTACTTAAATATTCTTTAACAACATATATATTTTTATAATAATATGAGCTGGTTTAAAAGGTTTCAAAATCTGATTATAGATTCAGTCACCTTTTTATTATTTCTGCCTTATAGTTCTATTCAAAACTAGATTTTACCTGCAGATTTACCCGCATACTAACTTTAATATACTTTTTATCATCATCATGAAGTTTCATTCTATTTCTCCAAGATCGCTTTGTCACATCCTGACTTGGTAGCAGCGGAACTAGCTCATACCAATTGACCTTTCTGTTAAAACAAATATTTACTCCTTTAAAATCGTTCGCGCCGTTCCAGATATTTACTGAAACAAACAGATAGATAAATATCTAAATAATGGTAATTTTAATGTAGTTACCGCATATACTGTCACATATATTTAGTTTAAAACGTTTAATTTGAAACTATAAAACACCAAGTTCAATTTTATTTTTATTACGATCGAAATTTGTTTATGTTTTCATTAAAATCCAAAAAGCCGGTAATTGTACAATGACCTTTTCTTATATATTCACATAATATCAAATGTTAAAATTAAAGAATTAGTCAGCTGAATGGGAATGAAAGAAAAATGTAGCGTGTGTTGTAGAATATTACTATTAATTTATTATATTTTATTTATTTCTATTATATTTAGGATTTTTTATGATTGCTTCAACAAAACTTAATATAATATAAAACTGATGGAGTGGTTGCTACTTACTACATACTTTTTATTTAGGAAATTAAAGTTCTTTTTTACTTTCACCTTATTTATTGTAAATAAAGTATTTTTAAAGTTGCCTTCGACAATTCAAATATCAGGAAAACGTGTCTTAATAATTTCTTACAACATTGTCATATAAAGATAAAACAACTTTTTTAGAGAACATTTACTTAAAAGATCGTTTAAATTATCTTCATATATCTTAATTCTAAAGTAGTTTTTAATGACTGCTTTTTGTCCGATGAGTGAGAGAGCCGGTTGCCCTTTCCCTTTTCCCTCCCTTTCTCACTTTTTCCTCCCCTTGTTCCCCAATCAAGGGTGGCAATACATCCGCAAATCTATGCTGCGGATATCCATAGGAATTACCTCCATCAGGTAGGGAGTCTACTCGGTTGCCACGTCTTGTAAAAAAAAAACTTTTCTCATTAATAAACAAAATTATTCAGTAACACGCAAAAAGCGTGAGGTCAAAGGTTAGGAATGTTAATATTATATATTGTATTCAAGCCGGCCAAAGTGGCACAGTCGCTGCTACTATTCTGCCAAGGACAGAGTATGCTGACGTCACTCCCTCCCCCCGGGGTCGAGCGGCGGATGTCACGAGCCATGTCTATGGAGGAATACGACAAACCGAACATAAGGAGGCTGTCACTCACACCGTCAAATACAGACTCACCGCCGCTGAGGAAACTATAGACTCGTTTAACGATACGGTGTGAATAAGGTTTAAGATGTTAATCTGATTATATACAAATGTATTGCTTGTTGGTATTTACTATATCACATTTTGTAATTAATAGTTTCTTTTTGTCAATCATATATATAAAATAAATGTACACTATCGGTATTTAGGTCGCGAGTATAACCTTGTACTGAGACGTCAGGTTTTTTTTGCTGAATTTATAACAAGCGTCCCACCGAATGCTTTGCCAAAGTTATTTAATTCAATCGTAGGACGTTATACCTTTATTAATATATAATATTAATTTCACGACAAACTCTGGCTAAACATAACTTAGTATCTTTTATACATTGTACTGTCACAATTGATATTTTATTAGGTATCTGACAATTTCTTGACTAAATGAAACTTGGTTTCTTTTCATTTTTGTCATAATTTAGCATGTTTTGTTAAGTAATTGTAATTATTATAATAAATGTATATTTTATAATCACAAAATGAATATAGATTTCAATAATTTTGCTTTTATTTATAACTTTTTAATAATTAATTTATGTATTAAATAAAAAATTAACAAATAGAACATATATTAATACCTGATTTATTTGTTAATTTTTATATAGCTTGTAATATTGAATTATTTAATTTATAAACAGAGGTAAAATGTAATAAAAAATATTTACAAAAAATCTTTATTTATTTTTATTGCCTTTCAAAAAAAACACGTCATATTTTTTTCTGAATTTTGCTTCATCAAATAAGAAAGTTTAAACATGTTTAGTTTAGTTTATTTATTAAAAATTTTATGCATATTTTGACTTCATAATGATATATTAATACAAAAAATAATAATAAAAATAGAAAAAAGATGAAAAAATATAAAAAATATGGAACTTAAAACATTACTTTAAAGACAGGCGGACTTGAAAATTGCTTTCATATAAAACTTCATATATTTAATTATAAAATAAATCAATTCTTTTTATTTTTTGTAAACTATTTGATACACAAACCTTTAAAATTGAAGAACTATTTATTCATTATTTTAGAGAAACGTCATCAAAGAATGTACCATAGACTTTCCCTAAGGAGTTTAATTATTTTATATAGCCTCAGTCCTTAAAAAGCTATGTCATATTATGTATTATTGCATGTCAGCACTTTGAAAGTTTTCTAGATTATTTACGAACTTATAATCAAGGCAAATTCATCACAAGTTTGAAAACAGATGACAAAATATTTATAATATTGACAAGGACGAAGTCAGGAGTAACTATTAGTTTAGTGATAAATATTAATTTTATATTATTTTTATTAAGGTCCTTACTTATTTTTATAGCTGCAATATCAATTTTATAGTTATTTCGGCCTTAAATAATATGTAGGAAAGAAGGTTCCCGGAATTTTTGTTTGCCATAGAATTTTCTTATTACTACAATGTGTCGAATAAAAAAACTGAATCATTTGTGACTTTATTTATTAAACAGTAATATATGGAAGACGAAACATTAATTCCTTATTATACATTGTAATGTACGCAACTAGTTTATATATTTTACTATCAATGTTACATATCTGTCACAAATTAGTTATTCGCTTTATAAATACATCGGTGTTGTATAAAAGTAAACGTAGGGCCTTGTAGACGTGTGGTTAACGATCAACACACATTGATACGCCACACTCGCGTAGTTAACAAAAAATATCCGTTAATTGTATGGCCATACGAGTACAATACCATCAGTTAAGGATTTTGTTTATTATAAGTAGATGATATACAATCATCAGTGTACTGTAGCACTTCGGTAATACACCACATATCCTTGCGCTAGTGCAGTGGTGTAGATAAAATGATTGTGTTATTAATAATTCTCATCATCGTTATAGCCATCATGGCTGTTGGCATCTATCAGAAAAATACTAATAGTATATGCAGATCGAAGAAGAGGCTTGATGGGAAAACAGTTCTTGTGACTGGTGGTACTTCTGGAATGGGGCTCAGAATAGCAATGGACTTTGCTGATAGAGGAGCGAGGGTGATCATCGCGTGTCCATTCGTGGAAGAAGGGACGTGGGCTAGAGAAAAAATAGTAAAAAAAACGGAAAACGAAAACGTCGTCTTCAAACTATTAGATCTTTCATCATGTAAGCTGGTTCGGAAATTCGCTGAGGAAATAAACCAAGAGGAAGAGAGACTGGACATTTTAATAAACAATGCTGGCATGGGATCAATGAATGAAAGGTTGACTAAAGACGGAATGAACTGCACCATGCAAGTAAATTACTACTGCCAGTTCATGTTGACTTTATTGTTGTTACCCTTGCTGAAGAAGACAGGAACAGAATCAGAGCCCGCCAGGATTGTTAACACATCATCAGTCTTACACAACTTTGGAACTACCGATTTCGAAATGATGAATGCTTTGAACTATTGGTATTTTTTACAAGTCTACGCTAACAGTAAACTTTGTATCGCAATATTTACACGCGAATTAGCTAAGAGATTGAAAGGTTCGAACATATCTGTGAACGTGGTGGACCCGGGTGCTGTGGGGACGCCTATATTTCTCGATTTAGGCAAATATTACGGTGCCATAACAATTTTCTTGTTTCTATGTTTGTTCAAGACTCCATGGCAAGGAGCTCAGACGGCTATCCACGTGGCATTAGACAAGAGAGCTGGCCAAGTGAGTGGAGAATTTTTCAAGAACTGCAAACTATCCCAAGCCAGTGCAAATGCTCGCAGTGACTTATTGGCTAAAGAACTCTGGAAACACACCCAGAAACTAATACATATGAGTGATGAGGAAATAGATAGTTGTTTACATTCATAAATATTTGACTAAATTGTGATTTATCTTAGTAGTTAGTATGTTATATTCCTAAAGATCTTACGTAACTATGTACACATTTTTTACGTCAGTAAGTAAATATTTAATTAACCTTAAGGTTAACATGAAGAGTTTAAAATTAACATGAATTTGATTTATTTTATAAATATTTAAAAATTGTTGTCAGTTTGTCTTTATAAAATCGTGTTTTTTTTATTTGTTATAAATGAACATCTGTACATTAAATTTCCGCTTTTGTTTTCAACATTTGTTACACATAGTTATTACGTTGCGAATTGTATTATAAATAGATATTTTAATAATAGAACTACAGTTAGAGGTCTTTAATATTTAAATATCATGAAAATTAAATTATTCTACAATATTTATCCGCAACTTTATGTAATTAGGCATCACCATTAGCAAACAATAAACGACAAAAAAATGTTTAATATTCATTGAGTCACTTTAATAGGCCGTACCAAGAAAATTAAGTAAATTTAAAAGCGTTTTATTTTGTATACAATCACATAACTGGTCTGTATGTAAAAACTTTTTAAGAACCATTCAAGGTAAGTAAGTAAACATGTTCTCTTTATCTATATATAATTAAATAATTAATCGATTTAACCGCATTCATAGATAATGACTAAAGGAAGTTATTTAATAAGCTACTTCTTTTAACTAAGAAACATTAGTTTTTTTCCTCTAATGTTGCTTACAGCAGCAGCAGTCGTTAGTCTCACTAAAACTCGAGAACGACTGAACGGATTTATCTTATCTTAGTCTTGAAATGTTTGTGGAGGTTCAGGGAAGGTTTAAAAGTTGAAAAAAATTTTATAATTTCCGGGAAAACCCTAAAAACAGCCCTTTTCTATTTTCCATACAAACGGTTTTTTGACATTAAACTAATATGTCAATCATTCTGTCGCACTTCAGTAAACTCCAAAAATATAAATAAAATAATACATATTTATTTATTGATTGAGGCAGTATGAAGTCTGCCGGGTCAGCTAGTACGACATAAATATGAACCTACAGTTACCTTTTTATTTGATAGTAAAAAAAAAATTACATGTAATCTGAGGATTCTGAGTTGAAGGTATGAAGGAAGGAAGGAGTTTTAAGAGTAAGTAACGGTAACGGTTTATCTTGGTTTCCGAAAAAACTACAAATCCTATAGAGAAAATAAATTGGCAAGTGTAATGTATTTCAATGAAACTAATATTATTCGGATTATTACGCGTATTTTATTATCTTAAACTACGTACTCCCGACGTTTCGGTTACTTTTCAGTCTACCTATTAATGTATACCTTTATAAATAGACTTTATTCATATAAACTCTTTTTTAAAGTAGAGTTATTGAAAAGTATTTTATCTGTGCTAAGGCTTCATTCACGCTTGATTTGTGGAATACTTTGCCAGTAACAATGTGAATATTTATTAAAAATATGTATGACCCTAAGAAGCCTAGAGGTTAAAAGCCTGCCTCTCGTGTATGAAGATGCGGATTCGAAACCTGGAACGTACCCATGTGATTTTTCCCAGGTATATATACTTTATTCAAGTATTTATACACCACTGATAGGCGGTGATAGCAAACATCGTAAGAAAACCTGGACTTATAAGTTTGAAATGGCCAATCCGCCTTGAGCAAGCGATGTGATGAATGCTTTAACCTTCAACATGTGAAAAGAGGCCTTTCCTGGACACCGATATGCTGATGATGATCATAATGATGATTTATATCCCCACATTGTCTTAATTATCCGTTTAAAAAGATGAGTTTTGTCATCTAATACCATAATTAAAATTACATATTATCTCTACTAATATTATAAATGCGAAAGTAACTGTCTGTCTGTCTGTCTGTTACACTTTCATTCCTAAACCACTGAACTGATTTTAATGAAATTTTGGTACAGAGATAGAGTTGACCTTGAGAAAGATCATAGAATAGTTTTTATCCCAGACTTTTGAAAGGTTCTCTTGGAAACGCGGTATAACCGAAAGCTAGTTATTTAATAAAAGCAAATAAGTTACATTAAAAAAACTTTAAACAATAAACATTATATAAAAAACTAAATGATGTATTTAAACAAGTTAAATTTTATGTACGTGACAGATTATAGTTTACTTTTGTCATACTTTACAAGTGTTTTTATGTTTAAAATTTAGTGACGTGACACAAGCAAAAAGTTCATAAGTTCTTCACATTGTAGAATAAATAAAGTTGTAAAAAACTGGGACTGTAAAGACTTAGAAGATTTTATATTATACTACATATATACTCACGACTTTGGACTCTCTGATCTAAGTACAAGTAAAACAATTAATATACTCATTATAAAACAAATGCTTTTGGACTACGAATGTATCTTATTCAATTAAATGGTATAAAAACTTATAGAAAAATAAATTAATATGGAAAGATTTTGAAAGTGGATACTATTAGATATTTATAAGTTGAAATGTTTTATTTTTATTTTAGGTCAACTGAGACACGATCTAGACTAACCAATCACTTTACATTAATACACCTATGTTTTGATTCCATAACCAGACCTTAAGCGCCCTGTAAATAGTAGTATAGTAGTTATTAATAGTAGCTATTAGTTAAATGAAACATATTTTTTCGGATTCCGATATTTCGGTTCCATTACAACAACCGTAATAATGGGCAGGCGAAATGGTAGTGAAAATGATGAATATTCAAAACGTTAAAATATATAATTCTAATTCCAATTATCAACAAAAAGGATGTCATTTGTATTAGTAACACAATAATAAAAATTATTTGCTTTACTCCATAATCTAGGCGCTTAGAGATGCACACAAGAAGCTTATGTTTAATAATTAATTAAAAAATCTATATGAAACTTATACAAAGAGACTCAATCCCATAGTAAGGCGAAGATTTAGAAAGAGTTTATAAAAATAATCTTGTCTAACAATTAAAGTTTGTATTGTCTGTTATATGCGAAATTGTATTTTTATTAAATTGTTATTCAAAAAATGTCTTAAGCTGCATCAGAAATGTAAAAATACTTTATTTATAAAACGAGATTTAATAATCACGCCAAATAATAGTTAAACAACCGAAATTTCCGAAGTTTTCGTAGTATTTTTCATAATTAATTCGCAGTCACCAAATTATTATTATTCTTTTATTTTTAGTATTGTTTTCGTAAATATCGATTTTTCAAAATCAAGAAAAGCTATATCACATAACTTTATGACCTCTTGCTTTATGCTCTGTGGGTCGTAAGTAAAAATTAAGTTTAGACCTTGATTTTTTCATTAAACTCAATAAAAAACTGCCCCATTGTCTTAAAAATATAATTAATAACGTCTACAAAAAATTACTTTTGTATTCAAAATAAAAATAGTATGTTTTATTTTTAGAGCGCAGTTTAAGAAACAGTATTTAATTTAATATATTATTTAAAAGTAATCTGAAAAACTAACGAATACAAAAAGAAACCTAATACATAATGCATATGAAGTGAGGTAAAAATACATATATAAATAAACGATGTATGCATCAGTAAGAACTGACCAAATAACATTAATTATCTTCAAGCAAAAATATATATCACAAGAATTACATATGTAAGTATCTTAAGTTTAAAAATTCGACATCAAAATGTGTCTCAATCTGTTGACATAATATGTATTATATTATAATGCTACTAAGAGGTGATTTAATAAATAAGAAATAAATGTTACTTTAAGAAAACTAAAAAAACACGCTTGTAATTTATATTTATTTTATATTTTTTTAGTATGTACGATTTATCACTAACTTTTTTATGGAATTGCGCAGATCGCACACAAACTCTGTCCCTTACACTTTCAGAGAGGATCTATGAAAAGAATATTCTGGCGGCCCTAACAAGGATAATGGGAAATTGTTAACGAATTATTGCATTGTCGTTGGTCCTTGAGACATATGCAAAGTTTCAAGTTAATCAGACATTTAGAAACCAGTGAAAATCGTGCTCAAAGATTCCGTTACATACATACATACAGCCCAAGCTAATATAAGCGTGTTAAAAATCCATCGATTTCTCAGTTTGAAGTTACAGACGTCATTTAAACTGTACATATTTAAACTTATTAAATTTCTCAACTCTGCCTGTGTTTATTTCGGTTTTATAACCGCGGCCTTCATCCGTGCAAAACGTGTACAAACATAAGTCATAACATAATAATGTCCTCGTTTTTGGTAGGTTATTATCAAACGTACATGACAACAAGAAATCCGTGGGATTACTTACGTATATATCTGTACGCAAACAAGTTCATTATTAACAATTGAAATCCGTCTGCTATGTTAATGACGATCATGTTCTTGGGTATTACCTAAACGGAAGGATGTATTTTGTTAATTTATATTAGTTAAATTTTAAGTAAGATTTGAGGTAAAATACACAATTGGCATCTTGCAACTCCAGTGGATAGTATACTGAACCGTTCTTAATGACAGTATATATATGTATATGAAGAAGCAGGCAAGTATATAACAGAACTTGATATAATTATGCTAAAAGTAATGAGATGTAAGGTTTTCGTGAGTGCTAGTTTAAATGAAACTAATATTTCCGGATTTACTACGCGATTTTTTATTTTTGATTAAAAACTACATACTCAAGACGTTTCGGTTACTTTACAGCAACCGTGATCACAGTTAAAAAATATAAATCGCGTAGTAAATCCGAAAATAATAGTTTCATTAAAAATAGGACAGAAATAATTCTTAATAAAGAAGAGAGTATGTCTTTAGAAACGAAATGAGTAGTAACTCCATCATTATATGGTACCGCATTTGACGTTTACTTCAACCGCTATAATACAAATGCTTCAAAGAATTACATAAGTAATGATGCATACAGTATTGTAATGAAAATAAAGTAATAATAATAAATATTGTTGGCATAAATAAATGCGTCAAAATCATGACCTAAGCGTTAAAATTTCTGCATAATAATTTATTTATATTTTATTGCATCTTCATTATTTATTAAAAAGAGTAATGCGTAATGGGTAAGTACTGAAATTTCGATCCATCTTTACTCAAAAACCGTCTGGTTTATAATAATTCCTACAACATGATATGGAAAAGTATTGAGAAAGAATCTGTCGTAAAAACATAAATACACTACTAATAAGATTTTAATATCAAATGATATTAATATAATAAAATATATTATGTTGTCTTTATTAATTAAGTAAATTTTAGTACAAAATTAATGTTGAAATTAAATTTTGATCAACGTATAAAAAGAGTGAACTGCAAAACGGAATTAAAATAGAATTCTTAGTTTTTATTAATTTTAAATTAAATATGTATAATGCCTTAGTTAAATACTGTGCTAAATATATATATAATTTTGTTGAATACAAATACAATATTTACAATAAACATATCTATAATTCCTTTTGTATACGATGAAAAAATTGTCAATACAAGTAACAGAAAGATTTCTATTTTTACTAATATTTTTTGTTTTAAATTTTCATTCGCATTACAATTTGAATTGGTATGATTGTTTCATAAAATATATTTAATAAGGAAATGGCCAGTTGTCAATTAAGTGATAATATTTTTTTTTTATGTACTTAAATGCATAAAATTTGTTTTATAAAATCCCGAATGAGAACCTTAGTAACGAAAAAAACTCGGAGTACGTTACATGTTTTTCTTCATGCTATCATTTAGGAGACCTTTATAATGTGTTCTTGTGTCGACAGACGGTCATTCGTTGAGCGATTTTAATGGGATACGGAAGTCTAGAATATGTATTTATTTTTAATAATAATATTATTGATAATTATTTGTTTATTGCTCGTCGGTCTTCATCAGAAGAAAACGAATTCGATATGCCGTTCAAGGAAGAGGCTGGATGGAAAAACTGCTATCGTTACCGGCGGGACTTTGGGTATGGGTCTGAATGTAGCCAACGACTTCGCTGATCGTGGAGCGAGGGTCATCATAGCCTGCCCCTTCCAAACTGAAGGAAAAAACGCCCAGAGGCTCATCGAAGAAGAGACGGGAAATAAACAAGTTATATTCAAATTGCTCGACCTATCGTCATTTAAGTCGGTGCGAGATTTCGCCGCTGACATAATCAGTAGTGAAGACAGACTGGACATTTTAGTGAACAATGCCGGCGTCGGCTACATAGAAGACGATATTACCAAAGATGGACTAAATGTAATGTTGCAAATTAATTACTATGGACATTTTCTTTTAACGTTGTTACTGTTGCCCCTTCTCAAAAAAACGGGCACTCAATCGGAACCAGCCAGGATAGTGAACGTGTCATCACTATTACATTACTTGGGTACAATGAATGCGTGTTATATAAAACGTTCGAAGTTGTTGTACGCGTTGCAACTGTATTCAGATAGCAAATTTTTCTTAATGTTATTCACGCGTGAGTTATCCAAGAAATTGAGTTATTCTAACGTTGTAGTGAATTGTGTGGATCCTGGCGCTGTTGGGACTGATATATTTAAGCATATAGGATTTGTGTGGGGGGCTCTCATACGATTCTTTTTCTCCACGATCTTCAAAACACCCTGGGAAGGAGCACAAACTACGATTCACGTGGCTTTGGATAGGAAGGCTGGCGATATAAGTGGTCGGATGTTCAAAAATTGTCAAGTGTCATATGCAAAACAAGCGGCATTTTGTGAAATAAACGGTAAACGATTATGGGAAGATTCAATTAAGCTCGTCAAACTCACTGAAGTGGAACTTAAACAATGTCTTTACACATGAAGCAAGTGAAAGTAAATCTCATACTTATGATTTCTGTTAAGGTAAAAGAAAAATATTATTTTAAGCTTCTGACGAGAGTTGGCTAATGATGTTTAAATATTTTTGAACAGGTTATTATTGATATAATATTTAATATATGATAACATGTTTTATAACTTAATATAAAAAACATATATTTAAAATAAATTTTTCATTTTATTTGACGCATCTAATCTAAAAACACTCGAAGACATGTAAATTTTATGAATAGAGGAAAAAAAAACTTTTAAGGACCAAAATATAATGGGATAAAGAACTTAATTTTTAAACATTGACTATCTTTATATATTTTATGTGATATAAAAGCTGATCTCAAGTTTTATTTTATTTTTAATTGTTTAAAACAATCATATCACATTATTTAATGCACTTGTCTTTATACATATTTAAATATTGCACTCACTTCAATCACCAAAGAACCTTGCTTTTTAAAAGTAAATAAAGGAAATTTCCTAAAGTTCTTTGAAACTGACGCACCTTGTATTAATTAAACAATCCTTCAGACACAGCATATTTTATATTTATTTTATTGCTGACTGTTCAACGTGGTAACTTTTATTGTAGGACAACCTAACAACCAACCTTGACGTAATGATTACGAAGAAACTTCCAATACTCAAAAGCCGGAATTAATGTGACAAAATATTTGTCTTGTATATGGTCATGGTATTTTTATATAACGAGGTTTAATACAATGTTTTTTTATATAACGAGGTCTTAGTGTAGTGTTAGTTTGTTTTTTATTATATTAATTTTGAAATATACATATTAACATACCTTGTTATAATTTTTGGTTATGCCTTGGAATACACGACATTCAAACACACATCAATATTTATTAACTAGCTGTTACCCGCGACTTCATCGGCGTAAAAAAAATGTAAAACCTTTTATGGGCCGCTTGCGTCCTGAATCCCACTCGCAAGTGATGATACTAAATTTCACGATCAGGATAAAAAGTAGCCTAAGTTACTCCTTATAACATCGGCTACCTGCCAGTAAAAGTCCTGCCAAAATATGTAGGTCCAGCCATTTCAGAGAGTGGCCGGAACAAACAAACAGACAGACAGACAAACAAAAATTGTAAAAAAAAAATATTTAGGTGTATGTTCCGTATACATATGCATGAAGTAAAAAACGATTATTTCAATATTACAAACAGACAATCCGATTTTATTTATTTGTATAGATTAACCACGGATCAATATTCGCTAAGTTAAGATAACCTTTTTAAAATATTATTTATGTTTATATTTTTATTTATATCTTAGTAGCATGATAATTTTGTTTTTTCTTACAAAGACTTAGTGAAAAGATGACAATTATACTATATATTGTTATAAATAAATGACACAAGTATGGGACTGAGGTCAATATTTTGCTGATACGCTGCCTCATGCATGTTACGAACGTCCCAATTGCTAAATTGCTTAATAATTAACATTTGTAGTATAATATATTTCTTAACAATAATTATAGTTATTACCTTATTCTTAAGTTAATTTATACACTTCTCTGCGGCACGTCTTATATAACTCGACTCTGTCATCAGCAAGTGGCATAACAGTATGCAAATATTTTGATATTCAGATTCCTGATATTTTAAATTCATATGAAAGAAATAAACTAAAACTATTAGTTATTCTGACAATCTAGTCCCATAAGGAATATACTCTCGTTACAGAAAAAAGAAAACGAATTGGGTTAATGACGACCCAAGTAATTATATTTATTTGTAGGAAACTTTTTATTTGTTACAAATTTTGGTAGGTATATTTAAAGTTTGTACTTGCACACTAAATAGTTCTATGCATTTTTAATTTTATTTGTCAACTTCAACTATCCAGTTTTTAGTTTTTTTATAACCTCCATGTTGAAATGTTTCCAGTGTCTTTTTTATATAAGGTTAAAGAAGCTAAAAATTTCAGTTAAAAGTTCATACGTCTGCATCACCGAGTTTTAATATGTACATATGTATGATTATGTTCTAAAGACTGTTTCTAAATTGTAGTACTAGAGAAATTTATGTGCATAATTTACATTAACTCTTATTCTTAAAACATATTATCGAGACAAGCAACAATAGTAATATTTAATTTGGGTATAAAGGGGGGAAGGGGTTGTAAGGAGAATGCTGTTTGTGAAATAAATCTTTTTAATTTTTTTAAATATTTTGATATAGCAAGGACAAGACTGGACATTACTTTTTACACAAACGGACATACAAAACAAAAACCTCTCGCCACACGTGATACACGAGCCAAAGTCAAGGTTCGTCATTTCATCGGTTCTGTTACTAGGTATAGGTAGTCAGTAGTCTGTTGGTAGTCAGTCAGTGAGGGAGTCATCCCGAGGGCCAGCGGGCAGCATCATCCAACCTCGGCGGACTTTTTCAATCATTAAAAAATTTCGCAGTTCTGCCATAATCAACATTATAAACATGCGGCCGTGGTTTAGTGCGTCCGCTTCGGTCGCGACGCTCTGCGCCACGCGTTCACACCACACGACCACGACACGATCACAGGTCACGTCACTGTGGCCGTGCGTGCTAGTGTGGTGTTAAAACTGATTCTGCTGAATTCGCAACAAATAGCAATCCAACTCGAGGTGATTTCCACAACCAGGCTGTGATGGGAGGGCAGGGCGGGACACAGACGTATCAAAGTTACCAGTATGTTATATTTCACGTCCTGAAAGTGATTCATGGTGGGTGGTATTGTCGTTGGGGGCTCATCGTCACGGAGCGTGGGTCATACTCCAAGGCTCGTGTCATAACGCGTCCTCGCAGCCGGGCGCCATGTCTGACGTCTCTATGGCCACCTCGTCATAGTCTCTCTCGAGCGCCGCGAGGTCCTCCCTAGCGTCCGTGAACTCCCCCTCCTCCATACCCTCGCCCACGTACCTGAGACCATCCACACATTAAGGACCTCATACATAAATCTCTATTGTTCGCAGATCTATTCTATATGAAAATCTGTATAAAACAGTACTCAAATAACTCCTATATATAAATGAAACTAATACTTTTCAAATATACTACGCGTGCTTTATATTTGTAAAAACTACATACTCCCGACGTGTAAGTTACTTTGTAGCAAACGATCACGGGCAGACGAAATATGAGAGATGCTATATACAAATTGTAGAGTAAACAATGAATGGATGGTGTCAAAAATAACTACTTGTTTTCTGTACTTTTTGTAAATTGAATACAATACGTTATTTTACTAAAATATGTTGCATTATACTGTGACCCAAAAAAATAACGCTTTTTTATAAACATTTAAATACAGATTTGCATTTTAAATCGACAGGCCGTATTATATTTATGAAACTTTAAATTAATTACATACCATTAATAAATAAAGAATGCATGTTAATTGCAACGAAAAATGCAAGTTGAAAACCCTCCATTAACAAAATTAATCATTAAAAGTGTCTTGTTGTAATAGGTGTTGTAACTGATCTCATTATGATATTACAATATGTACTAAATTGTCAAATGAAGAAAAAATTCGTAAAAAAATGTTATAAAATGTGTCAAATATTTAAAATAGAGCTATGTATTATCCTTTTGTTAAATAAAATCTTTATATGTATATTGTATATACTCTAGTACAAAAATGTATTTGAGTGCAATTTGGTCAAATGACAAGAATATCTGAACAGGATATAATATATAAGAGGTGCTTAGTTCGTGTATTAAACAAAAGATAAATTATATTGCAAGCAATCGAGACCACCTACCAATGGACAAACGCCCGCTTCGAGTACATGAGGTCGAACTTGTGGTCAAGTTTCCCCCACGCCTCCGCGATGGCCGTCGTGTTACTGAGCATAGAGGCGGCGCGCTTCACCTGCGCCAAGTCACCGCCAGCCACCACCGACGGCGGCTGGTAGTTTATACCCACCTGGAAGAATAAACATGATGGACTAGTCCAGTCTACATTACTACAGACTTAGAAGAAAATGTATTTCTTCTTCCAAAGACTAGACGATTTTAAATTATTATCTATTTGATTGTATTTCTAATGGATTTGAGTTCAGTCTATATTACCACACTGATTCCAAAAATATGAACTTTGTCAGCTAAAGCTTAGACACGGCTTACGCTTAGGCTTTTACGCTCCATTTTATGATATCTACTCACAAGATTATAGTTTGTTTATCCAACAACGTGGATCCCCATTCTTTTAATACCTGTACAAAGCAACAAATAATCTCAATGTCAACCTTAAAGCCAGTGGGACACCAGTCCACGAAGCGTATCCCCGCTCGCCCCTTCATGGCCGCTATAGCCGCGTTCACATCCTTGGGCACCACGTCCCCTCGGTACAGCAAGCAGCACGCCATATACTTCCCCTCGCGAGGGTCACACTTCACCATCTGGTTCTGAGGTTCGAACAGCTCCGCCGTGATCTCAGACACTGACATGCCTTCATGGTACGCCTGGTAACAACCAACCCTTGTCATTCATTACCAATTCGAATTTAATACCCATATTCCAACGAGAAAAAAATGCATGTAAATAAGAGATTTGGTGGCTTAGTCCATAGTTAGTTAGGATACGTTATCACGATAATGTTTAGTCTAAACAGTGCAAAAACCCAACCATCCATTGTCATTTACTATCATTCGAATTTTGTACCAATATTCCAACAAGAAAAATGCATGTAAAAAACAGATTTGGTGGCTTGGTCTATAGTTAGGATACGTTATAACAATAATTTCTAGTTCAAATAGTGTCAAAACCTTGTCAGCAGACACGACTGGTGCGTAGGCAGCGAGCGGGAAGTGTATCCGGGGGTAGGGCACCAGGTTCGTCTGGAACTCCGTCAGGTCCACGTTCAAGGCTCCGTCGAACCGGAGCGACGCCGTGATGGAAGACACCACCTGAAAATAATAGAGAGCGACTAAGGATTTTCTTTTAATGACTAAATAAAATGAAAGCAACAAAAGTCCAGTTTTTTAATGTATTGTAAGATCCAAGTATCAACGATACTTCATACCCAGTTCGTGTCGTATTAGAGTAACATACCGCCTGAAATACTACTACTTCTTCTTAAAATGTGTGAGCACAACCGTACTAGATTTTATTCAAAAGAATCTACATATATTTTCTTAATAAATACAGAAAATTGTTATTGTACTATATGTGTAGAAGTTTCTATTAAAGATAGGGAATAGATTATATAAACCCAATTCATATATAGTTCATTTCAATAAAAATTAGCAATCTTGTAAACAAACTTGAGCAGCTGCTATTGACTCGGAGCGCCACTGGGTTGTTTTAGTGGGTATACCGGGAATCCTTTTCCCGGGGAGTCCCACATACCCCTCCCCGCCTCCCGACGGAGAGGGGATGCGTAAAGCATTTTTATCCCAGTGCGCACAAAAAAAAAAAGCTGCTATTGACAAAGACTTGTCTATGCCTCTAGTAATGTGAGTACTCTTGAGATACTTAAATCTTAATTATTAGATTAAAGTTTTCATATAAAAGAATTATTACAATTTGTTCATATTTTGTTAAGTATGCAGTAGGGAAATTTTTAAGGAGTTTAGTTATGCATACGAGAAGAGTTGTTTGCATCCCAATAGCACTAAAAACCCCAAAGACTATGCCATCAAGGTCAATAAGTATGACGAGCTCACTTACGATTTAAAAAAACGTTTTATTTGATTTTTTTACTGGTTTAAATTGCAATTTGGATTGATGTCTGATTTTTATCACAGCCTGTTTAATACACTATAGTGTTTAGTATAATCAAATCTTAAATATTTGTGAAATGGTTAAAGTTCAAATAATAATGATTATAAATATCTTTAAATAAAAAGAAAATCGTGTCAATAACACTATTTATAATTCAAGAACGGCATTACTATCTTTTAGGAAGAACATATGTAGTTCTCACGGTCAGCTATACATTTCTAAGTTTGAAAGTAACGCAGATCAAATCGCGAATAAGAAGTAGTTAATTATTAGTTATCACGTACAACACAAATTTTTCAAAGACAAATAGACTTTGATGAGTAAAAAATGATCGTGTCAACTTGACAAATGTAATTAATTATCGTGATAAAATTTTATAAAATAAACATACTCGTATATACAGTTGTTTAATGATAAAAATATTGTTATAAACAGTGGTTGGTCCATTGAGATGTAATTATAATCAGGACTTTTGTACGTAAGAACGGAGTAAAAGTGGTCAGTTGCTTTGTTAACAAGATTGCCAATTTCTATTGAAATGGACTATGTCTTTTAATTATATAAAATTGTGTGGTACTGTAAATATATGTAGACTTGTAAAAATTATAGATTGTTTAAATCCAATTCTATGATTTTTTCTATATGTTATATGACGGTGATTTAGTTTAGATATTTAACATTTGTTCTTTTTAACAGCGGAATACTAATTGTTATAACAGATGTATAAATATTAAGATCGTTGCGTTAATTATTCAGTAATAAATCATCTTCTAACAAACACACTGGTTTCAATAACATAAGTCCCCTCAATGTTTCAAACTTAAATGTTGCAGTGCCACCTTACCTGTGATATAAGCCTATTCAGATTCGCGTACGACGGTCTCTCTATAGACAGCCGTCTCCTACAGATGTCGTATATCGCCTCATTATCAACCATGAAGGCGCAGTCCGAGTGGCTGATGGTAGCGTGGGTCGTCAACACAGCGTTGTAGGGCTCCACCACCGCCGTCGACACCTTGGAACAACATACCCAAATATAGGACTTTGTATACATTCGTTCAGATGGTTCCACTTGATGGAAGGACAATATGATGATGACATCTAAGATTTTCACGAGATTTCATGTAAATAAATAATATGTTCGGATTGTACTACGCCTTATTTTATAATTTTTAAAAACTACATACTCCCAACGTTTCGATTGCTTGACAGCTTTACATGGGAGACATTGACATCTCGTATTCTCGTGATGACGAGTGGTCCAAAGTATATAAAGTTTAAAAATAATAAAATACACGTCGTAATCCGAATAATATTAGTATCATTTACATTATGTAATATGAAACACACATTTTATTAGATTGACTAATATTGTAATAACGTACTTGAGGCGCCGGGTATATCGCGAACTCCAGTTTGCTCTTTTTACCGAATTCGTCCGACAACTTTTCCATCAAAAGAGACGTGAAGCCAGAACCTGTCCCTCCTCCGAACGAGTGGAACACGAAGAAACCCTGAAACAGCAAAGTATTACAACAAAAATTTTTTATAGGTGGCAAACGAGCAGACGGCCTTCTCGATGGGCAGTCACCGTCGCCCATGGAAATCCGCAACAGATGTTGCGTTTGCGTTGCCAAGCTTGGTTATTAAGGAACAGGGAGGGGAGAGAATAAGGAAATGGCAGGAAAGGGTGGGAGTTTCTTGTCAGTGTGATGTTAACCTGCAGGCCGGTGCACTGGTCTGCCAGCTTCCTCACTCGTTCCATCACCGGTCCCAGCACCTCGCGGCCGGTCGAGTAGTGTCCCCGCGCGTAGTTGTTGGCAGCGTCCTCCTTGCCCGTGATTAGCTGCTCAGGGTGATACAACTGACGATACTCACCCGTACGCACCTCGTCTAAAAATCAGAATGCTGCTGAATATTTGTTCACAATCAAACTTTATTTATTTTTTATTTCCTTAGGAACACCAACAGTACACATATGCAACATTCACACAAAAATATAGGTCTTCATATGTACACCTATTACAGGCATTCACAGCACTGTCTAAAATGTTTTATAACAACGACAACACCTAACTAAATTAAATTACTTCTACAAAAAAAAAAAACAACACTATAAAATAAAAATACAACATAAATTAAAAGTGAAACAGTTACAATTTTAGAGAGAACTTTAGCTTTTAGTGTTATCCTTATGGTTGGTCCGTGGAACATTTTACAAACATCCACTCATACAAAACATTTAACAAAATTATTGATAAATCCTGAATGGTAAACAAAAATAATCATTCATTTGTTTATTTAAATATTGTTTATGCTCTTGCTTTATGTCGAGAGTATATATGTTATAATATGTTCATATTTATTTTTAATATGATTTATTATATTTTTATGTATCCTGCCCTTTTCTATCTATGTATATATGAGGTTATTTGTCAGATAATGCCCCACCATTATGTTAGCTAGTAGTAAAATCTATGTAATAAATAAGTACAATAAAATAGAAATTTATTACTATTATCTTTCCATTATTGTTATTGTAATTATTTTTATCACATTGAAAAATAAACTACAACGTCTCAAAGCAATCAGGTGTCAACTGCCAGAGATTTGTGACTAATTGGTATGTAAAAGTGTGAGTTGCATTCTCACGAAACTAGTATATAGTAGACCACAAAAGCAATTCAATAAAATATTCAATTAACGCTACATGAATGTGTACCTTAATAATAGTGATAAAGTTCTAAATGGATTAAATGTGTTGGCGTCTACGTGTGGACCTGCATTACATGTATTTTATATGACATTTGTCTATATAAGCTACGATATTCTACATAAATTTGTATCCTTTTTTATCTTATGTACATACGTTACGTCCTTTATATTTCAAATTTTAATATCATTCCGCTACGATTTGTTGTCTTAGTAACATCTGTATCTTCAGATAAAAGTATTTAACAAAACCAAACAAGTTTTCTTTAACCTGTCTAAATACCGAACAAATGTTATAGAATTCAGTTCACCTATAACAGTAGCTTCTAGATCTACCATCACGACCCTGGGCACCATCTTTCCTCGGTCTGCTTCAGAGAAGAATGTGTTGAAGCAGGAGTCTGCTACGTCGCTGTCACAGCCGGGCAGGGTCCCGTCAGGTCTGATGCCATGCTCCAGGCAGTACAGCTGCCAGCACGCCACTCCCATCTGGACGCCCGCTTGCCCCACGTGCACCGAGATGCACTCCCTCTATAATACAAACACACATAATCGGAGATTATGCTGAACAAGACACTACCAGCAAACACGACAGCCTCAAAGGACTTTTATAATTAATCCCTATTTATATAATCTGAAGACTACCAGCAAAAACGATGACAGCTTTACAGGTCTTTCATACTAAATCCTTACTTACGAATCCGTGTTTAATAATACTATAGTAAAGGTTATGGCTAGACGCTGATGTGGATTATTCTCTAAGTATAGTTGAAAAACTTACCATGATTTATACTTATAATTTTGATAATTAAATCATAAAAATAAATAAAAACTTGTGTTAAAACAGTTTTACAAAAATTTGGTATAAACTAAAATTTTGAAAAAAAATAGCGAATCATCGCCCGTCCGATAGGCTGCTCGGATCTATTGTGAATGGTTCTTCCATTTTTGAAATGTTCAATTCATTTTCAAATTTTCTTCGACACAACTTTATAACGAAAACTTTTATATGAAATGAGGTTTTATTTATCATGTTGCAAACTTCTTAAATTCATTTGCAATGTTCATATTATAAGAAAAATCAACTCGATATATCCTTTTGTTAAAACAAATGTAGTTCATTCAGTCAACAAAGGAGAAACTAAACGAATGCGTTTTTTTTCTAATACTAATAACCAAGATTCGTCAAAACGGTCTCTGACAAACATCTCTTTAGTGCGAGGTAACTACATCAAGGGTGGCAAGTACGGTGGGGTATGAATGGACCCCAGTTGAAGCTATTAGAGTACAATAGTTTCGGACGGGTAGGGGACGTCCAAGGGTTGCTGGTATGAGTGTAAGTTCATTTGCATTTTTCTGTTTACTCTCCTATTTAGGGCTGTCGTTTGGTGAATTTTATAAGTTCGGTTAGAGCTTTTTGAAAAGTGGATATTGATAAGCCAATATGCGACTTGCACTTTTCTCTTCATTACAGTTTTTCTTTTTATTTAAAAAAAATTAGAGAACAAAAATATTGTAAATATATTAATATTTAAATGTTATAATATCTAACCTACATACTTTAAACTTAGGTTTTAGGTAATTTCCTGAAGGAAAAATTTGGTTTTTGAACAATAACACAGTATAAAAAAATACTTTCCTTTCTTGTTTGTTAAATGAATATGAAATCAAAGGTTAAAGAATGACACCTAAAATACGGGTGTCGTTTTGAATGTAAAGTACAAAGTGTTGCAACATTTAATTAATTCTAATTATCAACACATAATTCGCGGCTTCACGCGCAGCCACTGTCACTGTTAATCCTTGTAAACATCTATTCAAATGCAAAAGTTTCATCAAGCCCTTTCACCGCAACCTATTTTGAATATATAATTGCGTGACATTGTTGTTTGAGCAAATAAATAGTTGCAGAACAATCGATCGGTCACGTTTGTTATTCTACAGTCCCGTGGAAATTAACTCCGACTCTGGTTTAAATAAACTACACGTTAAAGTGTACCCTCACATGTGACCGTGACTAATATTATGTTTTGTTTTTCGTAATATATTGCTTTTCCTACAAAATTATGAACAGCCATTTGCTCTCTCTTATAGCCAATCTTTAAATAAGTAATTTAGGTGAACAAAATTACACCAAATAGTTATTATATGTTCAACCAAAAAGTCCTTTGTATTAATAATAACACGTATAAAGTTTTTTGTCTAAAAGTAGCTTAAATTTGAGTGACAGCAATTTGAGAGCATTTGACAAATAGCAGTGGGGAGGGGAGATGAAAGACGAAGATACCGCTGGGACGAGATGGTATCACTACAATTATCACTAATACTACTGATAACATCCACAGGGGAGGATTAAACTTTATACTTCATACTGTTCCAGGTTCAACTTGCGGGTAAGTATTAGCATTTTGTCAAAAAAAGGTATAAGAACAGAGAAAAGCTAGTAGATTCTGGTAGAGACTTGGCTTATTCCGACTTAATATGTCTTTGATATTGTTAAAATTTAATTATTTTCTAAGCTATTATAGATAAATTACGAGTAAGAACATAAGTATAGTATATTAAAATTGTACCTACAGTTACAATTTTATCAAAAAATATCAATTTTATCAAAAAAACCGTAGCAAAATCTGTTACATACGGCTTAAAAAAGTATCAATGAAACACAATTTTCTGTTTGAAAGCGACATCGCGGTGAGATTGACAATGACGAGGTGTGGACAAAACATAAAATCCCATTTGGATGACGTCGAAGCGGAATAATGAGATCTTTTTAGCGGATCAAGGATAGATCAGATACTGGTAACTCGTGCTTGGCCCCATACGATCACTATTTGATATTCATCATACATAGAGATTCTTTTTGTTATAAGAATTTAAATGCATACATTTCTTATCTATGAACTAGCTAGAAAACTAGAATTTTATTTTTACTTTTTATCATAGATCATTTTAAATATAATAAAGAATTTATTAATTGGTTTACATTTATGTTAGTTAAAGTTCAGTCATTTTAATATTTTCTACGTCATATGAAGGAATAATAAAAATAACAGTAGCGTTTGTTGGCATGTATGAAAGACAGTAATTAAATCTTGAGGGGATGAGGGTTGGGGAGGCCAGGTGCCTTCAATGAGGTTTTCAATATTTATTGCAAAAAATATAACATACTTACACCAACATGTATAATTATATGGTATAATATTGGATATTTTAAAAACAAAACCACACTTTTTCGAAGATACCTTTCACAAATTTAATTAGAAATATATTGATTATCTCATAAGTATAAAAATAAAAAAAGTCATTGTTTTGTTAAAATTCCTCGTCGATCAAAACAAGTTTGAACCTAGACGATATATATACCAAAAAAAAGTAATTTTAAAAAATTCTAAATTATAAATATTGAATGTAAAAAACCCTAATTGATTCTGATAAAATATAATGTGTCCAATAATCGCACAGCTTACATCAGACACCCCGTTTTTTGGTATAAATCATGTTTTTTGGTTGAAAATGCATTTTTTTTTGATAAAAGTGAATGCATGAATGAATCTATTGTTCGTACGACAGATGGGGAACGATAAGGGCAAACTGTTTGACACCGTGCAATCGGTCAAAAACACACAGCTATGGAGAAATTAATATCTATATATACATATATATATAGTATTATTTAATAAATATTATTCTTATTAAACTATAAAATATATATTTACATATATATTTTTATCTTTATTGGTTGTCTATAAGACATTGCTCTTTAGGAATAAAACTGCTAAGATTGTGCAGTTGTTGTGGATTTTCAAAGTTGTTTTTTAACGAGGAACAGAATAATGTTACTTCAGATTGAACAAAGGAATGTTTCTTTAGAAAGTCGTTTTCAAAACATAATATACAAATCTCTAAATGTCAATAATTAATCAGTTTTATACATACAAAATTAAGATAATATTAGTAGATTATAAGTTATTAATAACACAATTACTTAGTAATATTCTTATAATTATTTAATTTAATATATTATAATACGTAGTTAATTAAGTTGTGTTATGGTTAATACAAATCCAGTTAATACTTTGACATCCGTTAAATGCGTGTCATTGGTTCATTGGACACGCGTCGGCGGCAACTGAAGTTACGTAGTAAACACAAAGCAATTAATAAAATAACAATATATGCAAAAAATATCAAGTCTATACTAAATATCACATTATATATGTAAGCTATACTTAAAACAATTTTATAATGTTAAAGCTTAAAGAATTTATATGCGATTATATTAGCTCCTACTTGTAAATCTCTTCATATCAGTGATAGTCCTTTATCAAATGTTATTAGGCGTGTTATAGTAATAATTAATTTAAATCTTTTGTATACTTACACCCAGCAATAGGTCACGTGTCCGACACGTTCCTTCAAACGCCGACACGCGTCGGGCGGTCACTATTAACAAGGTAAGATCACTGTTACAAAATAATTCAGTTAAATTATTACATATACAAGATTAAGAGACTTCACATTCCTGTATACAAATATTCTATTAAATAAAGTTTAATTATAGGTATTTTAATTAAACGAAGTATTTAATGTGTTGCTATATAAAAAATGTTGAATATATCTTGTATAGCATCAATTTCGGCACTAAAGTAGCTATGGCAACACCAGTACCGTGTGAATATTAGAGTATTTATGTTTATAATAACAAAATTAACAGCCTTGGTGGTTTTAATCCTGGTTAATGACACTTCAATGTGTACTTCAGGGAAGTGACACGCGCAGCTTCAAGTGGGATCATCACTATTTACGTGGTGTTTACGAAGCATTTGATAGTTTATTATCATTTAACATATTACGGTTCAATTTTTTTATGATATCATTATGATGTATTTATACCGTGTGAATTTTTTTTAAAATCTCTGTGAGAATTACAGTTTAAAAAATCAGGGATCAGTATCGTTAAATAAATAAACAATTAACATTCGAAGTATTTTGAATGAACGGAAAATGACAATAATTTTGCTATTTTATATAACATTATTACAAATTAACGATTTTATTTAAAAAAATCTTATAAAATACCAAAGAAATATAATTTTTATAGTACTTTGTAACACAATCTATAATATTAAAACGAAGCAAATATAATATTTGTTTTTTAAATATCAAAAATCTTTGCATTCGCTGAGCTTTGCTTAAAATTTACTGATCGACAGTTTTCTTAAAATCATTTTTTTTATCACTTACCACTTATGAATTAACCAATTCATTGTATATATTAGCCCACTTGTGGGCACGTGTTTGTTATAACATCAGGTCTAGTTTGTCGAAGAACATTTTAACGGGATAAATGACATATCAGTGTGGTGTGAGGCGCGTGCGCACGCGCCGGTCACGTGACACACACGAGGCACTTGCCGCCGACTGGAACGTTATGATTGAGTTTCAATTAACTATCATTTAACAGTTAACACTATTAAAACTTAACTATAACCCACCCGTAACCAATCAGGTAATACTTGTGGAATTTGTATGACAATAGATAAAGAATGCGAAGTCAATTTTGTTTTATAACTTTGAACAGAGGTTCGTAAATAAATCGCCAGTTTTTTTTTAATTATTAGGTAATTTTAATAATGAGAACTAAGATTTTCGCGCGTTTTGTTTATTTAAATGAAATTTATATTTTTCGGATTATACTACTCGACTTTATTTTTGATCACGTTTGCTGTAAAGTAAACGAAACTTCGGGAGTATTTAGTTTTTTATAAAAAATAAAAATTAAGTCCCAAATATACATATAGTATAATCCGAAAATATTAATTTCATTGAAAATTTCTCTATATTATATTATATTTTGAAGTAGCAGCCAAGTGCACATTGAGATGTAGAACGCAACATTTGCTCATAGCACGCAGATGCGCTCTCGACTTCAACGACGCGGTTATTATCTTTACAAACAAACATACAAAGCAGCGGACGGTTTTCAATTAAGTTCGAGTGTCTCTATATTGTAACAAATGTTTTTGTAACTTATGATTTAGTTTCGTTTACAGAAACGGGTCGATTTGAGTGAAAAATAGAAAGTTTTTGATACGGTTTAAATGACGAATATTCTATCGCAGTGGCAAGAACCTATGATAGCATTCAAGCTTTTTAAGCTATAATACCTGACAAATTGAATATTCATTATATATAATCAATTAGTTTGACTTAACCTACTTCCAAAAAAAACTTATTTTTATAACACGTACTATAAAAAATAAGTAATCATTTTCTACCTGACATACAAACCATTGCAAATATGCTTCATATGAAATAAAAACGATATCGTCTGTTCTGGAAAATTAGTTGGAAATATTTGAATCAGAAAAATATATTTTGTAAGCAAATAAAGCTCAACAAACAACATATCAATAGTAGATCGTCACTATGAATTATATATTATATTTACTTGTTTGTTTAGCGCTCAGTCCGCCAATATGTCGTTTGATGGTGAAACCAGTATAAAATGATCTATTGTTATAAATATTATATATAATCTTACGTTACTTATATTGGACTGTTCGGTGGAATTCAGACAATATTCTAAAAATTCTTACTTTGTTAAGAATGATTGCGTCTTTTGTTAAAATTTCTCACATTTCATTCACAGTATATAAGTTTTATTTATTTGTCAGAGCTCTTTATAGCTGGTTAGCGAATATTATAAACAATGAAAATGTGTATAAAAATAGTATTTATTTTATATGCAGTAAAAGTTATTTTCGTTAATAAATAAATGTAATAAATGTCAGCTGGTTATGTGATTTGCGGTGATGCCAATTCATCTTGCGGAATTAGTGAGTGGAATCGATTCTACGTATAGTGTAGGGTGAAGTGTGATTGATTTAATGTAAAAATGAATTTAAAATATATTACACTATGAAGATATTATTAAATGAATTAAAGATTGATTTGGATAGATAGACCATTAAAGTCGGAAAGACTAGCCGACAAAATGAATTTAGATAATACATTTAAGTACATTTGTGGTAGTAATGGAAATTTAGATAAAACTTTACATATTTGCAGTAACAATGGGCCGTCGTTATATGTATATTCCTGATTAATTTTTCTATATATAATTTAATATGTTTACGAAATTCTCTGAAATGATAAAAGTGTTGTGTAAACTAGATATATTTAGTGATCTAGTCACTGACATTTTTCGAGAAAATGGTAGAAATCCTTTGAAAAATTTAATAAGTACGCAGACAGAATTTTCATTTCATCTTCGCCAGTTTGACAAATGGTTCTCCTTCTTCTATAATATTATCTATAGACATTTCTTCTAACTAAAGATTACTTTAGTCATAAAAATTACGTTTCTTTTATCATCCTTATCTATCTCATTTAAATTAAAGTACAATTTAGAAAATAAACTTATCAGTTCAAGCAAAATAAATATAAAAAATGTTTGCAATTATATGTATATATTAAGAATGTATGAGGTGTGATAAAAATTCCATACAAGCGTTATATTATTCATAAACGCTGTAATCAAAACAAACGGTCACTGATGGTACATCTTAATAATGCAACCCTAATTTAAAAAACGCTCTCCAAACAACATACATTAGTTTAAAGTAAGTAAATAGTGCGCATGGTTCAAACAGAGGCAATTAGCCCGAGGAGGCTATCAAAACAAATACAGCCGTGTTTGTGTTCCAATGTATTATGACCAAATGGTATCTTCTTACCGTTTAAAATTAATTAAAAATACAATATTATCTGTCAGAATAAGATGTACAAATAAGGTGCAAGAAATAAGGTTTTATATGTGGATATTTTTTGACTAAATCTCTATAAAGACTTAATATTAAATGGGTGTTCCGATATAAATCGTATAATTCGTAATGAATATTTCTGAGGTCCCGATCGGAGGGTAGGTAATGGATTTTACTCAATGCACGGGATTAGTGTGACAGTGGTCTGTGGGGAGCCGCGACTTTTATATACTTTTACGAATTTCTGGGATTCGGATTACTGAATCTTGCGGGGATTTTGGCTGTCATATTTATTTTTATCATTAAATAGTTTGTGCCAGCGACTTCATCCGCATTGATTTCCGAATTAGGAATATATGTATAGCTGAGCTAGCGAACTCTATTCCTCCCTAAAGGCCGTAAATAACCAGATATTAGCAATTATTAAGTTTTTTTCTTTTTTGATCGAACAGAATTAAATATCCAATGTTTATCTCCTGGTTCTAAGCTATCTCTCCACCAATTTTCAACCATATCCCTACGGCCGATCTTGAGTTATAAATAGTATAACTGACACGACCTTCTTTTATATATATATATCTGCGACATCTTTTCTTAGGAATAAGAAGAACACTATCCAAATATCTTTGTTTTTACATGAGTTTAGTTAGCAATGTGTTCGTCAAGCTAATGTAGTTTCTGGGTGTGGTAATATTACGGAGACAAAAAATAGTAAGTATGAATATAAAGCGAAACGAAACTTGATTTGTTTTGGTTATAATTGCAGCGGTTTCCGGAACAGGTGAACGATTTGTCAACCCAGTGTTGTGATTGAATTCACTCTTATATAATAATAATATACTTGGAAAAGAAAGGGATCTAAAATATAGACTATGAAATTATATATTTTGAAGATTAGTGTATGTCTATTAATTTTTCATTGTAAATTTTCTATGAAAAAAAATCCCTCTTTAAACGGTTTTACACATTTTGTTACAAACACAGAACAAAAATCTACCAAACTCAGTTTTTCATATACTATGTGTTTCATATTATTTATTTCTACACTATCCCGATGTTTCGGTTCCTTTACAGCAACCGTGATCACGGGCAGACGAGACGAAAAAAAATACATAAATGTGTCCTCAACAAAATCTTAATTATCATTATGTGAATATAAAACTCGTTAATAATGAAAGCTTTTGCAACTACTACATTTAGTCCAATATGAATGAAAAGGCAAAAGATATCAAAGATTCTACGTTTTCTTTTAAATTCTTTAATATTCCTTACAAACCATACTATTCTAGTAGCAGAATCAAACTCAGCTAGATGTATTAACAATAGTTATTGATGGCATTATAACGCGTACAACATTTACCGTAATCCGTATAACAATAACTATAGGAATATCGATGGAAGCAAATACAGATACAACAAAATAGGCCGTAACGAATTTCCAAAGCAAACATTAAATTTCGTAACATGAACCGACGGGTGCCCCTATTAACTTAGAACCGACTTAAATCTGCAGCCAGAGAAGACTTCCAGGAGTTGTAATAAGGCTGGTTATTGAATAACATTATATTTAACTAAGTTTGGTAGAGAGAACAATAGTCTGCTGCAGGGGTGCGCAGAAGCATTCACAACTTTTCGCTCTTTAACAATCATTGTTCCAATTTGATTTATATTCATGATTCTTAGTTTTATTATTGCAGGGCGGTAAATCAAGTGGAAGTTCTGCTCTGTATGATTGATGGCGGACTTTTAATTGTTCTTATTTAATAGAACATTAAAATATTTCGAGAAAATTAAATTTGATTTAACGTCATAATATTCATGAAAAGGGAAATATAATATTATAGGCTAGCCTTATATAAATTATTCTTAAAAGACAAAGAGGAGCTAAGATAATAATCTTCGTAATTTAACCATCTGTCATTTACATGTGGTGAGTTATTCTATTTAAATATTTCATACTTTTAGATATTAAATTAAATTTATGTTTAAAAGGAAAAAGAAAACAACGATATACAAAAAATAAAAAAATATATAATATATTCTCACAGTTTTATCGATATGACTAGATATAAACTTTGGTAAATTCATTTCAACTCTGACGGAACATTTCATTATTGTCCTAATTCTTATAAAAATATATTTTGTACTCATTGACTAGACTCTAGAAAAAATACATTAAATTTGCGCATTCACCATGCTAGGACTTCTATAAAAATCTCTACCTACGTATCTTTGATCATTATAATAGTTACTTTGAGGATAACAACTTTCATCTGTATAACCGTACTTCTCATTGTAGCAATAGGAATTTGAAAAATTCGTGTAATTATTGTACTGGACGGCGCTGACTTGCTTCCTATTTTTGGCTGTTTCGAACGCATTTTTGAATATTTCATAATTTTTCTGGTTAAAGTATTCCGTCGACGCATTTTGCATCCTAGGATCATATTCCGTGTAGTTATTGATATCGTAAGGCCTTGGAGTGTAACCCTGATGTATATCGTCAACTAGACTCGATGGATGAGAGAAGAAGCCGCTCCCCGTCGTCGAAGTGATACAATTACCGCCTTTATTATTCACAGACACAGTTACATTTCCAACATTTATCAACACACCTTCTGAAGTCTGTAAGAAATTCGATCCGTTCGGAAAGGGCTTACTATAACCCTGGAAACTCCTGTATCCATCACCACACTCGTCCTTGTTCGGAAGAAATATCTCCCTGAAGGCGTCTTTGTTAACTTTCTCTGCCGCGCAACTTAGTTTGTCGTAATTATATTCCACACTGGTTTGTCCACAGTTAATATTATCTAGAGATTCAAGCGTCTGACTTAAAGCAAATATATAATTGTGTGCGAAACGTAATGTTTCTATTTTGGTCAGCTTCGTATCTTCAGGGAAAGTTGGTAAGACACACCTCAACCTGTCCAAGGCTTCGTTCAACATGTGCATTCTGTTTCGCTCCCTGTCGTTGGCCTTCATCCTTCTATTCCTCTTTATTCTCAATATCTGACTGGGACTCTTACACCTCGTGACTCTGTTCTTTCCATTTGCGTATTTCCTCTTGGGTTTGTTCGGATCTTTAGGTTTCTTCTCTTTCTTTATTGGTGTTGATGTGTTATCCATCGGCTTAAAGTCTTCAAATTCCGTGACCTCCTTTATCTGGTCTGGGAAGATGTACGTGTAGTCGTCATGAAAGAGTTTCCTCCTGACCGTTGAATCTTTTGATATCACAGATATAGCTAAGTCTGATGTATCAAAATTGAGAGTAGTGTTGACAGATGATGGTGTTGCTTGGGAGTCAGCGTGTGACCTCTCGAATCCCGAGTCATTGCTGCAGACGCTATCGTTGAAGTCACAGTAATCGTCGAAATCCGTCGCATACATAGTTCTTGACTCTGCAAAAAAGAAACAATATTATTATTATATATACAGAAGCCTACTATGAAGTTTTCTATTATCTTTAAGACCGCTCCCCGTGTTTGTTTTAATGTAATTTTCACGTCACTCAACCGTATGTTAAAGTGTTTGGTGTGCAATGTGTTACGGAAAGTCAGTTGAACTTTATCACTTCCGATCGGACTGTGATTTCCGGTGGGGGCGCTTAAAAAGTTAATTTGTCTTTACTCCATGCAAACACGCCATAATTATTATAGTTATTACTTCTCTGATTTATAATTTTATTTCAGACAATATGGTTCTAAAGTTGAAATTTATGAAACAGTTATTTCTTATTAATATTTAAGTTATTTCAATTTCTATTAATAACAAAACGTAATCCCAATTTTGAGAACAAAAAAACAAGTTACAATAAATAAAAGTCACCCGTGACTTCTTATTGCAATTTAAAATGTCTAACTAAATTATTAAGTAATTATCAAATATAATGATAATAATAATATTACCGTAACCATACTCTCACATAGTTATAAAATTAGGTTATAAGTTATAAAATTAAGTTAAAACAGTGAAATTAAATAAGGCATAAAATGTCTGCCGCCACCTGCTTGCGCCACGCGTCACACACGCGACCACCCTCGACATAACCATCGACCACTTGCTATATTTAAAAACAATTATATGACCATAATATCATTTATTTTGTATAGTATGGAAGCCTCATTTATTATAAATACGTTAACTTTTAGTTTTTAATCAAAAAATAAAACTAAGGCTTAAAGTTTTTCCTGCAGCGTGGATTACAAAGTTCACGTATTGATTCGTCGTAAAAATAATACACATATAAAAATAAAAATAATACACATATACGAGTATATACCTACATATGTGTGTGTTAGAAGCGTATGTGTATATGTATAGACATACGTATATAACATTAACTAATTAGCGGAAATAATTCTAACATAACTACTGGATTGTTAGAAAGGTTTGTTTGTATTGAATTATCAGTGATATTAAAAGAATATATACTCAGAGTGATAGATAAAAGATTTCTAAATAGTTAAATATAAACAAACGTTTCAGAAATATATTGTTGTCGAATATACCTATATAGAATTCAAATCTCTTCTAGAAATAGGCGCCAAATATGATACGTGACTTATTCAGAATATATTTATTTGGTATATATCATTAAAATTAATGCAAACATTTCTATATTTCAATTACATTATTTAGTGAAAAACCGCCATGCATAGACTAACGTACACTCTATAATAATAAACTCAGCTTCACACTTTCATTCATCAATTATTTAGTTTAAAACAAAGTTAAATTAATTTTAAAATACACTTACATGATTTTAAGCTTGTATACACAATGTTAGAACAGTTCACTGTATGTCATGACATATAATGTTATGTCATGTCTGTCGTGTGTGTTGGTGTATAGTCGACTGTAGCCATCGACGCTGTGCTCCCCGCTTTATGGGAGTCCCATGGGCGTTCTAGGGACCCGGGTGTAAGGGCCACGCCCCTACACCTATCTTCAATAGGTACTCCATATTTACAGTGTTCTAGCAATGATTGTATTCAGCGTTTACTTGCTTATAAGTGTATAATATTCTTAATTAATCAACATTAATATTACACTTAGAGATATATCTCTAAAAATATTGATAGTCATACAAAATTTATGAACGCAAATAATTCCATTGATTTATCTACTCGTATGAGCGTATCCTTCTCAGTTAATGCGACTACTCAATACGTTTTAATGCAGTTTTTGAATATTATAGATTGCAACTCTGAATCTGAATCAATATTATAGATTGTAACTCTATCACGTTAGTTATATTTTGTATGTAGTCAAAAAACATATATTATAAGTGAGGCTGCTAAACGGTTACTATAAAAGTTATAAGCAAACAACCGTGTTTACAGCAAAATCCGAAGTTAGAGCTGATGAAATCACGCCCATAACTAGTAAATACATGACAATAACAAAATATGCAATAACTTAAATTTATCTCCATTCCCCTTGTTCATGGTTGCTGAAAAGTAGCCGAAACGCCAGAAGTATGTAGTTTTTTTACAAATAACCCACGCGTAGTATATCCGAGAAATATTAGTTTCATTTACAAGTTTTTTATGTTATTTTTAAGTAAATTTCAACAATTTTTGTCGTAAAAGTCCAAGATTCAACAGATGCGTAGTCCGCACCTTACTCGTATTTGTTAATAGGTTAATAGTGCGTGAAAAAACATTTTGGTCTCGCAACCCTTTTGTCGATATCGACATGTAATAAATTATATAAATATTTGATTGGCGACGCATTTAGATTCGCTATAGTATTTTTTATTGTTGCTTTATTATTATTACACAACTGGTTTTTTCGTATCGCTGTTTGTACTTCAGTCTTAAACTTACTAAAGCTCAGAGTAATATTATACCTTCTTTTTTCCTTTCTCTGCCGTATATATCTCTTTCCTACATATTTTTTTTTATCCTACATATTGTGATGAAACAACTTTTCACAGCGTTTTAAGAAATTTGACATAAGGGATGAATGAACTAATTTTATGATAATGATAACACTTCTTTATTTTCTTGAATTTTTTGACAAAATAATCCATGATTCCAGTGCGAATGATGCCATCGTAAAAAAAAAGTAACAGTAATTTGTGGTCGACAATCAAATCAACGTTTAAGTTTAGATAAATTCTATGCTCTAGATTTCTTAATAAAACAGATATTAAATAAAAATATCTTAGGTACTACGAAACTTTTAAGACACTTACATTTCGTCTGCCCGTAATCGTAGTAGTAGTATTAGTAGTATGAGTAGCAGTAGTAGTAGTAACACGTCTACATAAACATATGATGAGATATAAATCTGTTAACCCGTCACTCTTAACAGATGATTGGATGACAAATAATAGTTAACTTTAACCAACTGTTTGTCGTCACGTCTGAACGGGTTCACCTCCGAAATGTTATAAATAGCTTCACGGTTAATAATAAAAAAAATGGATAAAACATGACACGGTTCAATTGGTATAATTCAAAATAATATAGAGTATAAATAGATATAAGTTCTAATAATAACAATATGAACGATAACTTATATGAAAAATTAGGATATTTTAAATATATTAGGATGTTCAATCATCACCATCATCATCATCAGCCTATCAGTGCTCACTGCTGAGCAAAGGCCTCGTCTCACATGGAGTAGGTTTGAGCATTTATCACCACGCTTGCTCAAGACAGGTTGGTGATTTCAAACTTATAATTGGGAAATTATTATAAGTCAAGGTTTCCTCACGATGTTTTCCTTCACCGTCTGTCAGTGATGTCTAAATACTCTTAGAAAGTACATATGACTCGAAAAAATCACATTGGTACTTGCCGGGATCGAACACGTGTTCGATAATAGTTTATTTTTTTCTAATTAGTTAAAAAACTAAAATATCTCTTGAATCAATCAAAGAGATTATTGAACGCTAATAATGATACAACAGTTGAAGCTGAAATGTCATAAAGATGACTGGAGTTTGTAATAATAAATATAATGTGAAGGGGTATGTTAGTTACTTCGCAGTCGCCACGCTTGAGAGACCATGAATGCATTACAACGCGCCTCCAGACTCGCTTAAAAAAAAGGGTTACTGAAGGGATGCTGCTTATAACCGTTTAAAACTACATATAAAATATAAATAAAATTACTTAGATTATAAGCAAGTATAATATACTTTATGTTTTCAAGTATAAAAATTAATTATAATTATATATTGCACACCATGCATATATTAATGCTCAAATCTTCTCCATGTGAGATGAGGCCTTTGCTCAGCAGTGGCTTCTGATAGGCTGATAATGATACAAGAATCTGCGCTTTCATTTCGCAGAAAAACTATAACAATATTGATATAGATATTTTCATCAAATAAATACTTTTCTATCGATACTTATCTAATATGGTATCTTGTTTTTTTTTTATCGTAATATCGATACTATCCGTGTACATCACTAGATCTGCTCGAGCCCCACGTGTTCAGAAGGCCCCGCCACCAAGCATAATTCTGCGGACTTAGCGGCTCAAGCATTCAGGCAATTATATGCTCGTTGCCAGATTATCACTGGATTTGTTTTTACAATGTGCCTTATTAATATATGGAAAAGATTTTTATTACTTTGAATTAATATACAGCATTTTATATAGCTATATAGCTTCTGCATTTTAAACTTAAGCTGGAGTTTAAATTTAATGGAAAATTTAATTAGCTTGAAGTGTTATTACCGGGGAAATAAATAACATAATTCTTTCTTTTCTCTACAATCTAATAAGTTAATAACTGTAGTTTTGACGGGAATGTGGATATTATATCAAGGAAAATAATGTTCTTACATGTGGTGCATTCTAATTTCTAAAATTTACTCTAAATAAACTGAAGCTATTAATAAAATATTATTAGAATATTCTAGAAACGTGATACAGAAACAGAATAAGTTCATTCAGTTTGTTTTCTGTAAATATTTTTAGGCTTTGGATACGAGACTTTTAAGCCTTTCATTCAGTTTATAGTCGTAGTGTTACTAGTTAAAAGTAATTTTCTCTAAAGTTAACTTATGACAGATATATTTTTTTAATGTTGCCATTAAATTAAAATTAGGATATATTCAAAACCATCAATAAGTAGCCAAAGTGACCCTCTGTTATATTAATATATATGATATAGCTCATAAAATTTTTAAACCTCTGCACAAATAAAAACATGTCCGCCATTAAAAATATTTACCTTCATACAAATACACTAACATGACGCTAATCTCTTAAATATTAAAACATTTACAAAGACCGATCCGAGATCCAAAAAAATCAATGCTCCATCCATTGTGGCGTAGTTTTAAAATGTTAAAATGCTTTGTAGTTAAGGGTTTAACTAAAGGGTTGTAAATAATGACGACGCTCTTCCATACAACTAA